GAGCCTTAAATATTGGAACAGGCTAATGTGGAGGATGAATTTCGATGAGCACTTCCTCGCTTGGGTCCATGGGTAAAACAGGATGCAGGGAGGAGGGAAGGGTGGGGGATTGGTCTTGGAATACCAGAGACTTTTCAGCTACTTGGGCATTACATTTTCATTACCTCTCAGAAGTGGATTAAGACCTCTGAAGACAGTGGGAAAGACACCAACTTACCTATCTGTGTTCAATTCTACTTGCTTGGGCTGAGAAGAGATAGACATGGGGCACCAAATTTCCATTCTGGGCAGGGGTGAGGGGAGAGTGAAAGATAGTCCAGAGAGGAAACAGAGGTGGTTTAGCTTTTGGGAAGATAGGCTTAATGGGCCCATAGTGGTTAAGGGCCCAGTGCTCCATCATTCACAGCCATGAAGGCAGCCTGTTACATCCGGGCACCTAGCTGTGACATAGGCTCACCTGTGTGCGGGGAGGCCAAGAGGCTCATCTCCATGGATAGGAGCCAACACTTGAGAGTTGGAACCCGAATGTCCTAGGATTCCTTTCTCCTTCCCTTCCTCCTTTTTCACTTACAGAAGGGCAGAGAAGAGGAAACAATTATTTACAATATGCTGAACCTTGACAAATACTTAATACCTATGTGCACTTTGTATTATATGTTATTTCATCTGTTTCTCAAAATATTCCTACAGAGGGAGACACTCAAAATTCTGCTTCCATAGAGAGGCTCGCTCACAAGATGCCATACTCAGTAAGAGGGCCGGGCAATCCAAAACTCTGTAGTACATGCTCCTCTAGTAAATAAGGTCTCAGTCCAGACTCTTAGAGCATCTGGGAGGGGATGAGGTGAGATTGTTATGCAGGAAAGGGAGGTAGGCTTTTCCTGTGAGAGGCAGCTCTGACCCCTCTGCGGGAAGTGTGCCCAGGCCTCCCACTCTGCCCTAGTTCTTCTGTGATGCGAGGCCTCAAGGCAGCCCGGTGTTGAGATGCACAGGGAGGACTGCCTGCCTCCTGAGGCTTAATTTAGCCCTTGGCTGGTTCTCCCCATCTTATACAACGACCGCTAGTCTGTGAGGTAAGAGAGTAACGACTTCTCAGTATCTTGGCTTGCTTCTCTGCAAAATATGTTCCATAGTCTGCTCTTTCTATGTGGACTATGAAAAAGAGCTATTATTTGTACTGAGTACTCTTAAGTGCATAGCAGCGTTTCTTCAAACGCTAGTTCATGTGGGGGCTCCCACCCCCTGAAACGCAGCAGGCCACCAAGTCTCATTTCCAGGGAGTGTCATTTAAAAGCCAAAAGCAAGCTGACTACACACTTTTTAGCATGTACCTCTCTCATCTGCTCAGCAGAAATCCCTGTAACTTGTTAATAGTTCCCTTCTTATTTTTTTGTAGTGAAACCAATTGCGGCCTTAAATCAGTACCATTCGTTCCATCTTGGGCCATCTGAGAAAACCATTTAGAGTTGTAAAAAGTCATCTGCTCCATCTTGCCCTTCCTGCTGCGAGACCAGGGCCAGAGCTGATGGAGTATCCCTAGAGCAGGACAGTGCAGTGTGCTGAATGGGTGGTCTCTTCGGGGACCGCATAAACACCAGATCTGGGGGAGAGCAAGGATGGACTTTCAAAGAGTGGAGACCAGATACATGTCCCATAAAACACAAATCTCTTTACAGCTGGAGTCGAGTTTCTCCATTTGTGCCATTGCACTTATTTCCCTGAAGCTCATAGCGTTTAGGGTAGAAGAGGAGGAAAATGTGTAGAGTGCCACTTGCAGAGCGGGAATCTCTGAATTTCCCATAAGGCCCTGGAGGCAGGTCACTCAGGGGTCTAAAAACAAGAAGTAGGAGATGTCCTTCCACATGCTTCTCAGCCGTCCCCTTCCCAAACTCCTTTACATCAAAATGGTTCCTTGAAAAGTCCTTGCTATTGGTCATTCACATTGTAGCATAAATTTAATCCTCAGATGCCAATAGAATTCTGAGAAGGACAGAAACAGAAGCCTGTCAGTTTGAGACCCTCTGTCACAGATGAAGAGAAGGAAGAGGCAGCCCACATTGCCTGTGGTCATGAGCTGAATGGAGGCCAGTGGACCTAGAATTAGTTTGGTTTACTTCTCACCTTGGTATATACAATAATGCCTTACCTCAATTTGTGGAATAAAAATCTTCTTACCTCTCTTAAAGGAATTTAAGGCATAAAGAAGAAACAGGTTGGAGAATTTCCTGAAATGACTCTAAAATCAGCAATTGTTTATTCTTCTATTTTGGAAGTTCATTGGGGGAAATTTTTTGACCAAGGAAGAGATGATATTAGTTGGGTTTTGTAGAAACTCAACTCTGAAGAAACTATTAACGAGCTAAATTTGAACTTCCCCAGTCAATACCACTACCATATTTGTGGGTGTAGGCTGAGGCTAAAAATGAAATTTAGGTTTCTCTTTGAGGTTATCTGCCCCTCGGTTTGCACATCTGGACCCTCCTCCCTGACACGCTGTGGATGGTTTCTCTGGATCCCAGTATTTCCAGAAGCCTGCTGGTTTTCTTCACATTTCTCTCACTGATAAAAAACCTTATTCCTGCTCCTTTACACTTAAAATGTCCTTTACCCTTCTATAGCTGCTCAGGTTCTAAGAATCCTCACGAGAGTTGTGGATGAGCTAGGGGCACCATGCTCCTTGGGGGAATCAGGGCTCTCATAACTCCGGAAAGCTCCCAACCTTGTCCCAAAGGAGGAATTCCATCGTGGTAGAGTTCCTATATGGAAGACAGAGCAGCCTCCCATTCTGGAATTCAAATGAAAGATCCGGCAGCCCCAGCGTTCACCACTGCCTTTAACTGCCAATGGGTGGGGCAAGATGGGCTGTTGCCCAGTTGCTTCATAGCCCTGGGAAAGGAGAGGCTTGGAGGGGTCATTTTTGCCTTCTGAAACTATCTGAGTACACATGTGAAGTAAGTAGGTTGAATTGAACTGGCTCTTCCTTTGTTGCTGCTTCAGCCCCCGATCCAGTTCTAACATCCGCATGTCCGAGGAGCAGCTCTGTCAAATACAGTGTCAGGAACTTGAGGAGATGAAAGGGACCTGGAGGTCTGCTCACCCTGAGTGTGGTCTCCAGACCAGACATCAGCATCAGTCTCAAATGCAAGTTCTCAGGCCCTGCCCCAGACCTGTAGAATCAGAAGCCCTGGGGTAGAGTCAGCGATCTGTTTTAACAAGCTTTTCATGTGATTCTCATACAGCTTAAAGGTTAAGAATCACCCTGCTGGGTGCTTTGAAATAAGGAATTTGGTTGGTATCACTGGTTTTCAACCCTGGCTGTACATCAGAATCCTTTGATTCTCATGTAGTTGGTCTGAGATGGGGTGTGGAACTTAAAGCTCGTGGCTTCTCTTAGCTTGAGAACTACTGGATCCAATTCAGTTTCTCATCTTCTGGATAAAGAAACCCAGAGAATATAGGGATGTGCCCAGGGTCACATGGAGGTTTTGTGTGGCAGGCTGGGAGAAAGGAGGGCTCCTGACTTTGTGACCTATCTGGACCTGCACTAACAAACATCCCAAATCCACGAACTACATTTTAGTCTTGATTCCAATCTCTGAGATGCAGGACAGGCTTTTCTAGAGGGAGATTAGCAGAGCCTCTGAATTATAATGATTTAGTTACAGGTTAGCTTTGTTTTATGCTAACCTAGCTCTTCTGGTTGTGCTCATAATATCTTTCATATGACAGGACTTTGGTCCCACACCTCACCTCCTCATAATACCTGGGCCTCCTGCTCAGCCTTTCCAGGCCTCAACCTTGATTTGGCACCTTGCCCCAGTACCCCATTTCCTTTCCGGGTGAGGGCCTGAGATTTGGTATGCTGTGTTTTTAGCTGGAGGACTAAATATGGCAAGGTCAGCAATAGTCCCAGGTGACAACACATAGTTAATGCATTTCCATGCACAATGGGGGGAAGCTGAACTGGTGGATTTTAAAGCTGGTTGTCAAGAGGTCTTACTGGAAAGTGAATCTGCTCATGAGAAATGACATGTCACTATTGGAGGGCTTATTTTTTCCTTTTAAACAAGACTTTGAGGACACACACAGACACAAGAGTTTAGTGTTCTTTTGTGTCCCCTCTTTTGGACTGTGTGTATGTGTGTGTGTGTGTGTGTGCGCGCGCGCGCGCCCATGTACCTGTGCACAGGTAGAATCAATTGACCTAAGTCTGCCGAGTTAAGAGAAAGTGATGGTTCTATAAAAATCAGCCCATCTTGGGCATTTGAGGGCACCTGCTGCCTGGCTTGCATCTGGCCTGCACAGACTCCTCTTAAAAGGCCTCTGACTCACTCTGGAAAACAGTATGGAGGTTCCTCAAAAAGTTGAAAATAGAGCTACCCTACAACCTAGCAATCACACTACCGGGTATTTACCCTAAAGATATAAATGTAGTGATCCGAAGGGGCATGTGCACCCGCATGTTTATAGCAGCAATGTCCACAATAGCCAAACTATGGGAAGAACCTAGATGTCCATCAACAGATGAATGGATAAAGAAGATGTGGTATATATACACACAATGGAATACTATGCAGCCATCAAAAAGGGGGAAAGCTTGCCATTTGCAACGACGTGGTTGGAACTAGAGGGTATTATGCTGAGCAAAACAAGTCAGGGAAAGATAACTGTCATATGATCTCTCTGATATGAGGAATTGGAGAGGCAGGGTGGGGTGTCATGGGGGGCAGGGAGGGAAAAAATGAAACAAGATGGGACTGGGGAGGGACACAAACCATGAGACTCTTAGTCTCAGTAAACAAAGTGAGGGTTGCTGTTGGGGAGATGGGGGAGGGATAGGGTGACTGGGTGATGGACATTGGGGAGGGTTATGTGCTATGGTGAATGTTATGACCTGTGTTAAGACTGATGATTCACAGACCTGTACCTCTGAAACAAATAACATATGTTAATTTAAAAAAAGGCCTTTGGCTCAATGGTATTCATCTTTTATTTTTTAGGGGGCAGCACAGGCACATCCCCGACCACCTCCAGCACTGGGACACCATCCCCTTCAGCTTCTTCTCACCTTTTATCTCCATCCTGTTCTCCTCCAACATTTCATCTGGCCCCCAACACTTTCAATGTGGGCTGTCGAGAGAGCCAGCTGTGCAATCTAAACCTCTCTGATTATCCACCATGTGCCCGAAGCAACATGGCGGCCTTGCAGAGCTACCCAGGGCTGAGTGACAGTGGCTACAACAGGCTCCAGAGTGGCACGGCTTCAGCCACTCAGCCCTCAGAAACCTTCATGCCTCAGAGGACTCCATCCCTGATCTCAGGAATACCGACTCCTCCCTCGTTGCCTAGCAACAGCAAGATGGAAGCCTATGGCGGCCAGCTGGGGTCCTTCCCCACTTCCCAGTTCCAGTATGTCATGCAGGCTGGCAATGCGGCCTCCAGCTCCTCGTCACCACATATGTTTGGGGGCAGCCACATGCAGCAGAGCTCCTACAACGCCTTCTCTCTCCACAACCCTTACAATCTCTATGGATATAATTTCCCCACTTCTCCCAGGCTAGCTGCAAGCCCAGAAAAACTGAGCGCCTCTCAAAGCACTTTACTCTGTTCTTCTCCTTCCAATGGGGCCTTTGGTGAGAGGCAGTACCTGCCCACAGGGATGGAGCACAGCATGCACATGATCAGCCCTTCGCCCAATAACCAGCAGGCGACCAACACCTGTGATGGCCGGCAGTACGGGGCGGTCCCAGGCTCCTCCTCCCAGATGTCCGTGCACATGGTTTAATGGCCCGTCCAAACACCAGGGAGCCCACTGCAGCCAGGGCCCCAGCGTCTCCATGAGCAGATCTTCCTTTCTGGGAGCTGAAGCCTTTGAAAAATGGGAACTGTGTTTTTTGTTTTTTGTTTTTTGTTTTTTTTCTGGAGGAAGAAAGCACATACCCAAGAACAACAAAAGACATTTAAGCCACTGAAGGAAATACTTGCAGTGGAGTCATCTCCGACTCAGTGGCCATTCTCCTGCCTTCCCAAACCTTAGTTTTATAAAGCATTGCCTACTCCAGAGTGGCCTTTGAAGAAACTGAATAATCATTTTATAATAATGTTAAGGAAGATGCTAGCATGTAGCAGCCATAAAAAGTTACCCTGACATGAATACAGACCTACCTGTACATGCATACATACAAACATACATACATACATACGTGCATGCATGCATACACATATATATTTACACAAACTCTTACACCAACACACACGCACACTGACTTGGAAGGGGGTGAACTCTGTGCAGGGGGGCCCAGGTGGGGGCTTTCACCAAGAATCCATCTCTACAACAGTAGATGGACTAGGGCAGCAATGGCAGTCAACCTTTCTGCCCTGTAGCCCACCCCATTTCTGGAATGAACCGTGTATCCTGGAGCCCCTTCTGGTCCATGAGGGTAGACAGACATCAGCACTACAACTGGACTTGGCTTCCTGAAAATGATTGCTTTTGAACTTTGGCTCTCCTCACTTGGCGTGCTATCGCTGACGTTCCCAGGGGTGCCTGTGAAAAGGGAGTAAGAGCAGCCGAAGGAGAAAGGAAGAGAAGGAGTAGTGAGCAAGAGAGAGAGGCGGAAAGCAAGACTGAGAGAAGAAGTGTGAGCAATGGTGAGAGTTGTAATGTATGAAGGAAATTGGTTTTGGTTTGGTCCCCCCTTCTTCCCCCACTACAGGTTCTAGAAAGAATCGTGGCATCACGGAGGAGTAAACCTCTCTGGGACATTATGCAGAGTCGGGGCACTGGTGACAGGGACCAGGGCAAGGAATGCACTTCCATCTTGCAGTTCTGACCACTGTTTTCCAGAAGGGGGAGTACCCCATGTGGGCAGTGCTAATTCCAGAGCCTGCAGCTGGCAGGGGAGGGGGACCGGAGGGAGTATGAAGAAGGAAGGGTGTTATAAGCCTGACAGATCATACCAAGAACAGAGGTGACATAAAGAGGCCTGGCCCTCCACATGCCAGATCCAGACACCTGACCTGGATCGCCTGCCCCGTAGCCCCCTGCGGCAGGAGAAATCCGGGCGCGTCCCAGGGAATTACAAATGGGTCTCCTCCATCCTTCCACCTGCCCTTAGATCTCCAGTTTTTTCAAATAGTTCATTGCATTTTGAAGTTTTGGGTTTTTTCCTTCATCTTTCCCTTCCCTTTCAGATCCTTTAATGTTAAGAAAACAAGTGAAGTTTGGTGCAAGCTAAACTTTTTAAATGGTGTGGAAATGCAAATAATACCAAGTAAAATAACAGATATTATTAAGATTTTTGGTTTTGAGGTGTTGTAGATAAATGTATTTATGTGCCTAGTGGGGAATCCAATATTATGAATATTAAAAAAGGGGGCAATAAAAAGGGTATGTAAAATATGTATGAAGTAAAGGTGTATAAAAAATTTGCCCTTATGCACGGAACTCTGTTTCTAAGTGCCAAGCACAGAAAGCCGCTAAATAAAATCTTTGCAATTGTCTTATGGCGTGTTTGTACAGAATAAGTAAATAGCAGTGTATGCATTTGCGTTGTGCTTTACAATGAGCATGGCACTCTCGTCTCTGCTGCTTGGCGTGATCTTTATGTAGACCTCCTCAAGCAGATTTCTCCATCCTCATTTTGACTAGTGAGGTTGAGTGGATCCTCCGGGATCGAAGAGCCGGTCGGAGAGGGAGCGAGGACTTGAAACCAGGTCTGACTCTAGGGGGCCGTTTGCTTTTGTGCCAGCTGCAGAATCCAGCCAGTCCCAACAGCGACCCTCATCCCGGCCCCGTGCCCTGCACGTGATACCATTCTCTATATGTGTATGTCAGCTCATTCCCCCATAATTCTGTGAGATAGGTGTTATTTTGATCATCATTTCAGAGATCTGGAAACAAGCTTTAAAAAAATAAGTATGGGATGCAGGCCCTCGTGTAGCAAGTGATTGAGTGGGCCATTGGAACTCTGGGTCTGTGCCTGGTTCTGCTGCCTGAGCCGCCCCCCACCCCCGGCCCCCGCAATCCTGTTGGGCACTTGGACAATCAGGAAAGAAGTTGTGTCCCGAGGCAGTGAGATGAGCGTGGGTCTGAGGCTCTTTGATCATACAATTACACCCCACCCCTCCCCCCACCCCGGCCCCACTTTAAAAGCGCCTCCACAGCCCCGGGAGGGAGGGATTTTTGAATCGCCCCATACCAAATGACAACTTAGAAGAGACCAACAAAGCGCCTCAGGCTGTTCCACTTAGAAGCACTTTCTCATATTCTACCCCCCCCCAATGTTTTCTCATTTGATCCTCACAGTAACCACTGGGGGATGGACAAGGTAGGAAGTATTGTTTTGCAAATGGGAGACAAATGGTTGGACTGTATCTCCCTAGACAATGACACTGGGAGCCCACTGACCCATTTTACCTGGGCTTGATTTGGGGGGTCAGGTTGTCCACTACCACACTCATTCACTGGAAATGGAGGTTGGTTTGGGAGAGCAAACACTTTTATCATAGCATTGGTTTTATAGATGACTTCAAAGACTGAAAGGCTGGACAGTTTCCATTAGCTATTACATGGTTGCCGAAAGACCTGAAGCAATAGCTGATGAGAATCTCCATGGATTGTAGGTGTGACATGTCTTAAGACTTAAAAAGGCACCATTTATGTGGAAATCTTGCAGTCAACCTTTGATTCATAAGGGCAGACTGAAAACAACTACATATAAAGCTTATAGTTATTTCTTTCTGATTTAGCTGCATACCAAATATTATGCACTGTTAGTGTTTGAGGTTTCAGGTCACAGATAATCATCATATGCCAAGGAGCAAACTTTACACAGAAATGTCCATATTTTAGGGGCACCTGGGTGGCTCAGGGGTTAAACCTCTGCCTCTGGCTCAGGTCATGATCTCAGGGGCCTGGGATCGAGACCCGCATGTGGCTCTCTCCTCTGTGGGGAACCTGCCTTCCCCCTCTCTGATTCCCTCTCTGCCTTGTGATCTTTGTCTGTCAAATAAATAAAATCTTTAAAAAAAAAAGAAATTTCCGTATTTTCTTTGAACAGAATAAGAATTTCAATAATCATTTATGAGTGTTAAGTACAGAAAATTTCTGTAATTTGGATTAATTAGAACACTCCAAGTCAATTACATCTCAATTATGGCATGTGTCTTTATAAATGTGGTAAAGTAATAAAAATATTTCTTTTAACAAACGATAAAAAATTTTCAAGAATATGTTGTACTCAATTCTCTTTAATGGAATGGTGAAACTTCTTTATGATTGGCACACTGAGTACATATAAAGAGCTATTAGAAAGCTATTCCACCCTTACTCGTGTTTCTGGACAAAAGTCTGTCTTGTTCCTCTTTGCATCCTTGGAAAGTTTGTGGCCCAGTACAGATTCTCAATACATAGTCATTTTTACTGCTGAATTTGTTGGCCAAGCCCATTTTTCAAGGATAGCGCAAGATGGTTGCATGGCTGAATTATCACTCTCTCCAAATTAATGGGCCCAAATGAACAAAGATTATCATTCATATGGCATTCCATGGCAGAGTAATATAAATTTAACTTACATACTAGCTTGCCAGGATCCACTAGTACATAATGGAGGAGTAAAAAACAAACAAAAAAAACCAAAAAAAAAGTATGTGATAATTTCTTTCTTAAAAGGTTTACTTTCCAGGCACTCATGTGCCTGTGGGGCAAATGATGTGAAAGACTAAAAATTCAGAGGAGATGCTCAGGGTAAAAGGTGAGGTTGGAACTGTTTTCAC